GTCAGCCTCAACTATTTAACGCGGCGCCATCGGCGCCCGCGTTCTCATTCAGTTTGCATCGGGAAGCTTGTACGTGTGTACAAGGGGTGTAGGAGTGTGGGCGAGATGTCCGGAGAGTAAGGGCCAGACAATCTCGCGTGCTGTAGGCACACGGTCGCCACGACCGGGTTAAATTTTGGCGTCAGGCCATGTGACGGTAATTGTCACGGGACGGGGGTCCGACACCGCGCATCACGCGTGGCTTGTGTTTTCTGCGGTAAAGCAGTGTTCTGAAAGGAAAAGGTTGCCGGAGTGTTTTAATATTAGCAATTCATTGTAACTTGTACATAATCTTTAATATATTATTTTTCTTTTGTTATTGAAATTTATTTCTTATTTCACTACGTCACACTCTGCAAGGGAGTGATCAATCATGACTGTTTCGCGTCCGAGACTGAAGAGGTATTTCTCTCCTTTAAGAACCAGGGTGTCACTGAAGTGTTCAGGATCAAGAGGAAATAGCATGTGAGAGAAATCCCAGCTCTAAAGAAGGAAGAGGATAAGTCGTTGTCTGTGTGCTACCCTCTTTCTCTTACCAGCCGTGGTTCCCCCGCTCACCCTGGAGTTCAGTACAAGACCTAGTCCGAGCAGATTGGTCGAGAGTGGGTTAGCGCCGGGCTCGCCGGTGTTCGCAAACATGGTTAGAACGGGTCTACCCATACGAAACCAGTAAGGTGACAGTCGGGAACGCATACACAAACCCTCACCTCCCAGGTCACCTATTCCCATCGACACTGGTCGCCATGCACGGCAAATACATGGGTGGGCGTTCAGCATACGGAGAAGGCCAGTGAGGAAGAAATAATTCTTTTTAATTTTCTACATTCAAACATTAAATGAATGGTTGCGTCATAAGCCACAAAATCACTATTTTACAGGAGAGCATTTAGAAAATTTCAGTAAATACATAAATGAGGAAATGTATATTTGTCTAATTCCTCACTTAAACAATTCCTGTGATATTTATACTGTAGTCCAGATGAGACAAATTTATTACATTTCATTATAATACTTTCGACTTTATTAAACGATAGCATCCATTTTGTGGCTTATGATATCTGGATCAAGAGTCTCATTTCCGTTAGCATGCAGTGCTTGAGTATTAAATAAAATAAAACACATAGTATAATTTTTAGTACTTTTTATGGCCTACAATACTTCAATAGTTCAGTTTCTTCCTTACTAATTGCTCCTTACTATCATCAGTTTTGAGGGACAAGAAGAATCTCTGATTAGCATTTGGAATGTACTTTAAAATTGATTTTACATCTTGCAGCTTGTTTATTTTTAATGGATTTCTGTATTTCTCTGGCAGTCTGAACACATTAGCAACGCATGCTCGTCCCCGGCATATCAGGTTTACCACAGTTTTATGAATACCACTATAAGACCGAGAAATCTTTATAATACTTGGCTCTTTTCTTCGAATAAAATTTTCACAGCTCTGACAAATTGTATTGTAGCCACTATAGATCGTAGTAGTAATATTACATTTTAAGCAGAGTAAAGTCCTGTAAGGTGTTGCCAGTGTCTAATGGCACCACCAAAAAAGGAGAAAAACAATGTTCACAAATATGTGTATAAAATATCGTTTCTTCGTAATATTTTTCTTTATAGCAATTAATTTCAAGAACACGTCTTTTGATGCTCTATCAATACTCCCTACAAACGCCCAGGACGCAGTGGTATCTGCCGGTGTGTTTCCGAACCGCTGAGCCACGTGAGGAATGGTACTGTCAATGCCCATTTAACGCCGAGTAAAGTAAGCTGTGTTGGATTGAATGTGGATAAGGACGAGAGGGTGTCATATTATAAGCGGCACAATAGTTTCCATTGTGCACCATATAGTGCAGTGATAGAATAGCTGCAGATGAGAAACGTACTAATGAAGTTAAAATTGCTTACGCTCTTTACAATTGCAAGTAAACGTTTTATTGCCGCGAAACTAGAAAAAATATAGTTTTGTGCAATTTTACAAATGTGGTCAAAATTGTCAGTTCATTAATCGTCTAAATGGCACAAGAATAATGTTTTAAGTCTCTCTTTTACGTTTCTAGAAAAAAACCAACATTCAGATTAGAATGGATTCGCAGTACAGGCAAACCATAAACAATCACAAGTGAACAAGAATAGATGCATTTTAAATGTAATTATTAACTGTATTCGTTTCTGCGGTGCACTGCAGTTGGTGCTCAGAGGCCATGATGAAACAGTCGTCTGAAACTAAAGAGGTATTTCGTGAGCTTATTCAATTCACTGCTGAATTAGATAAGGATCTTAAGGCACATCTCTCCCAGTCATCTGCGTTTAAAGGGACTTCGAAGATCATTCAGAAAGAGCTGCTTGAATGCTTGTTGCAAGAGTACCACATGGAAGTATGCAATGAAATAAAAAATGCTGACTGTATTGCTATAATTGCTGATGAGACTACAGATGTTTCTTACGAGATTCAATTAATTCTAATGTTTCGATAAACTCATGGAAGCCAGTAGAGAGATTTTCGAATTTTGTTCCCGAAGGTCAAAATGCTAATTCCATCGCAGATTCTGTAAATACACAGCAATTGTGCCCGCGGAGACGGGTTGGGGGGCCCATTGTGCCAGACATGAGAGGTGCAGCCCACTGTGGCCGACCTGGAGACACGCCAGGACCAGCATGAGCAGTTGTACAAGGTGCCACCGGGAGCGGGCCGAGCGGCATTCCCCTCCGTAAAGGCGGGAAGCGCGGAGATTCGCGCGTAGGGCTCGGGGCATTTATAAGGGCTTCGAGCAGGAGAAGTGGCAGAGTGGTCATTTTTCAATTGAACTCTTCGAGTTAGTGAGTGCGCTTCTTCGACGGTTTGTTGACGAAAGGACAGTTTTCAGGAGAATTCTGGTGGACGGTAACTGAGCGACGCACGATGTGACCAAATGGCGAAAACGTGATAAACCTCAAATAGCATCGAATTTAATTGACGTTCTACCTAGAGTTTTCGAAGTCGCTAATTTCATATCTGATTTCAAAGTTACTCAACACAACATGGCTGATCAGATAAGGCAACCGAAAATGGTTCCGACGAGATACATCCGCCATCAGAAATGTTTCATAAAATCTTAATCTGCTGAAATTTGCAATAAGTTTGCTCTATTTATAAAATACGCTTTTGCCCGATATCAGTTATAAATAGTTATACTCAATGCTTATTACTACAAAACCACTTGTACCCAACGCCTCGTTAATTTCACTAAAGCAAGGTGCCGTGAAGAGGTGCACAACATAACAAAAAAGTGTTCACAAAAACTCAATCTGCAGAAATATGCACTGAAAATTTGCATTATTAGTAAAATAATTAAATGCTTTATTGCCTTGTTTCAGATGTCAGTCATTTTTATTTAATAGGTAATTATTACAAACGAATTAGATTACTTGATCGTATGTGGCTAGGCCGAAGGCCTTTAAGCCATTGCAATACCTACATCCTTTCGCGTTCTAATCTTTCGAATTCTGGTATTCACTCCACCCAGTCATTATGCGCACTACATATTAAATTAAAATCCCATGAACTGAACGCTTCGCTTCATTGCAGTAATGCAGAGTCCCGCGATGAGATACACACGCCCAAAGGAAATAATTATGCACATTCTTTAATAGTAAAATATCCCGTGAACTAAACGCTTCGTTTATTTCACATAGGGAGGGTACCGGGGGTATAGGGAGTGCCGACAGCAAACTCGAAACATTAAACAAGAACGAAAATAAAAACGCCAGACAAACTCAGGAATCCTTAAAAAATGAGGTAATCATATATGTGATTACACTTCGACAAAATGACATCATGCGAGACTAATTTTACGCCACCTACAATACATTCTTCCGTCAATGAATTATTCATTAAACGTCAGTGCACAGCTTCGTCGTGACAAATGCATTTCCAAAGACGATAAAATAAGCGTGATATGATAAAATAACTAATATCAATTAAAATGAGTTATAAGCAACATTTCCCGTAATGAACGGATGACTATTTCACACTATAAGAGTGTCGTGTGTCGTGACGAGGTATACATACTGCCGGAAGAAATAGTTGAAAAAACCTGAATATGCAATTATCCCCACCAAATAATTTATTTCAAAGATGTCATACTTAAATGACTTATATCAATTTTTCACACGTTACACTCTTTGCCGGTACAAAACTTGTAAACGGAAAGCTCGATAATTTCAGTAATGCAGCTTGCCGCTACGAGATATATACGAATCTACGAAATGTTTTGTAACACATGGATCTGCAGCGACACGCAGCCAAATTTTCCATTAATTAAATGATATAAAATATTGTCCGTAACCTTCAAATTGATCGTGAAAGCGCACGTCCGGCAGCTCAGTATTTGATTCAACATGCTAATCTCTCTCTCTCTCTCTCTCTCTCTCTCTGAATTTATTGGTGAAATCCAAATCGTTTACCAGCTCTGTCGACCATACCATATACTACAATAGCTATCTTCTTTTGGATGGGAAGGGCGAAAAGGGATTTCAAAGTTCTCCCAAACGAACTTTTCCTAAAACACTTGGTTTAAATTTTATTCCCTTCCATTATTAAAGTAAGATAAAAAAAAATTGACAGAATTTGTAATAGACATATCTATGGTAAATTGCGAGACAGACCGGGCGGCATAGGAACAAAGTCAGAGAATCTACCAATCAATGATGCATTTCTAAATTTCCTGATTTCACCATACCACAGGACGGTGCTTCTACTTCTTTTGAAGTATCTTTAAGCCACTTTTTGAAGGATATTTGATATGGAATGTTCATCGCGGTGTTAATAACAGCATCAAGATTGTCATTAGATGTGAGATTCAAAAAACCTTTATTCCGGCATAATTTATAGATGGTCGTTCCTTCGTAAAGAGAAAACCAAAAATTGAAAAAAATGTGAATTCTGAAAGTTTTATTAATCAGTACTTTAGAAACGTACTTACATTAACTTTCTCCGTGAGGCCTTTCAGCCGCTGAATACATTCTGTTGTGGAACGGGCCTTCTCAGAGAGTTGCTGTAAATTCTGTGAAAGCTCCGTCTGAAAGAAAGCAATAGAGACAAATGAATTGGAATTGTTGTAATAGGTGATTGGTTGAACATCTGCTTAGACTTAAAAGCAAATGATTGACCTCTTCTAATCTCTAAATTCGTCTTAGAGGAACCCTCTACAAATGAATTATATTTTTTATTGAGTGTTCAATACAGGCATGCAATTTTCGTTTAATGGAGTTAGAGCCGTGGATATGGACCAGCGTTTGCTAACTGGCGGAGAAGGGAGGCCAGGGCAGCGTTCCCTCCGCGGACACGCACTCGGAGAAGCAGTGCGAGCAATCGAAGACGGGACTGAGGGAGGGATCGACAGCCTTGGCAGCGGGCCGTTGCCTGTGTTTCAGGCAACACGAGAGCCCGTTAATTTTCTTTCGATTTGGGAAGAAAGGTTTATTTTTGTAGATACCATAACACTGGCGAAAGTGTTTAGTATGTAAGAAAGCACTGCAGTATGTTAAAAGTTTAACATACACAGGAATTTCGCAGCTTTGCAACCCCTCCTCCCCAAAAAACCGCAAGATGAAAATTATTTCTAGGTATTGACAAATAGCTTGCAATCACGAGACGAGAAAAGGAATTTGCAGATAGAAGATTATGGAAAAGGTATTGAAAATCACGAGGATTTACAACATTCTCAAACAAAACTGTTCATGAAATACTCAAGCTGGAGTCCAAATTCTCCCACGTGACCCCTCCCGGGTATCAATTTGTTAACATTAATTACAGGTTCGGAACGAACTAAAATTGTTATATTATATAACATCGTATAAACTGTCATTGTACTAGATTGTTAAAACTGTCATCTTCAAAAATGTCATGTATTAGAAGAATGGAAGTGAGATTACAGTACTGGTTACGATCAAGTTAGATACTGAGTTATGTAGTAATTAGGGGGTTGATTTTAACGAAATGTCATCTTTTCTTTTCACTTTAGAACAATCTTTTCAGTATATGCATTAATTTGTTACGATAAAAGGAAAATACCTATTTAAGTCATTTGTCCCCTAGATTTCGACCAATAAGTCATTTTTTCCTTTTCCTGTCATCTGTAATGCATTTTTCGCTGACTTACTCGATTTTAATATCATTTTAATGGTATTTGCTTCCAATAATATAAACGCGATGCAACAAATGTTCTCCGCAGAATTCCTGAGTAGTCTATTCCATTTGTTCGCTGAGATATTGTAAAATGCCGGCCGTTGTATGAAATCTATGGTTCCTGAGACGCCATGCGCCACTGATGGTTCAGCCCATTTTGGAATAACTAAAGACAGATTTCTTAGTAAAGAACGGTCAAAAAAAAACTGCAACCAGAGTTCACTTGAACGAAAGAGAGACGCGGTTTTATCACTAACACATCAAACAGCTTGACTATCTGAGCTGGTTTTGATAAAAAATTTTGTCATTTTTCCTCACATTAGGGCATTTTAAAAACATTTTAAGAGAATATTATATTCATTTTTAGCGATGTTTTAGGTCATCCAAAACCGCCCTAGTAATAATGATGTCCTATTTTTAATTGTTCATATTTTTATTGAATCATAAACATTGAAATAATAATTACAACTTAAAAGTAAGATCATTAGTAAGTTCAGGTTACCTTTTCCTGCCAAAATTCTCAACAATATTTGTTTACAGTCCATATGGCTATAGTATGTCACTAGGCGAAGCATTTGTGGCTTTGAAACAATTGCTTGAAAGATATTTCCCTACTTATGATTTTTTCTGCCGTTGTAAATCAGTTCTATTGCAACACGTCAATGACTTAAGGCGCCATTATACATGCAGTGATTATGGTCAGTGCTCTGGCATCATGCCCATTAGTGGTCATATAATATGGAAACGCGAAGACGCGTTGCCAGATGTGTAATTTCAGAGGCGTGTGCACTGCGAATCTTTCCACACAGCACCGATACCAGAGATCCCGAACATATGTCACGTTTAGCCAAGCAGTGATGTGATTTGAAGCAGTGCAGGCTGTGAATGAAAGTACCCTAACCACTTAAGGCTAAGAAAGCAGCGACAGCTAACTGGTGTTTACGGGCTCAGCTCTTCGGAGGGGAAGCCGCTGGTTCGAGTCTTGGTCTGTGAATATTAGCCGCAGACAATAATTGAGAATTCCAGAAACTTTATTGAAAAGTATTTGAAGAAATTCTAATCACAAATAGAATTAAGATTTTAGTTTTTATTTTTTTATTTGTCAGCGCATTTAAAAGCTGTGTGTGACGTGCTGGTGGGAGAAGTTAAATTGAAGTTATATTTATATCCAGAAGCAAAACAAGAGGCCATCTCAGCATTTGCTCGAGGATCAGAGAAACTGGACACCCCTCCCCACAGATGCATCTTCCAGGTATCTATCCTGTTCAGTTTTCTATTATCTACCCTTTCCGCCACACTCCCCTCCCCCCACCTAATCTGGTCACCCGCCATCGCCCTTTTCCTTTTCCGACAATCACGGGACACCCGCCCTCCTCCTATTGGCCGCCGATGCGCCCAGTCGGCCCACGCGCCCTTCCTATAAAATGAGACACGCCAACCTCTTGGCACCAATCCCTCAGGACTCCGTCCTCTCTCCACTACTGTTCTAGTATGTCAATGACATACCACGAATACGGCTCTTCCTTTATACTGATGACATAGCTGTCTGAGCAAGAGGAATAAACCTCAACCACAAACTCAAAATACTTCAAAAACAGATGAATCTGACGCTGAAGTGGACGGAACTTGACTTTTTCAGCGGTAAAGTCACAGGCAAGCTGTTACACCAGCCGCAAAAACAAATACACTAAACGTTTTACACCACCAAAACAAATTACACTTGGCACTCAAAAACTACATGGGCACCTAAGGCAACCTACTTAGGCGCCACTTCTGATCGACGGCGGCGCTGGCACTTTACATGTCAGGAGAATTCGATCAAAATTACAACAAAGAGTTCGACTCTCAAAACCTCTTTTGAGGGAACCTACACTCCCCTTGGATCTTCGCCTGGCACTCTATAAAACGTGTTGCCGGCCTGTGTCCATCTACGCTGCGGCAACGTGGTGGACTACAGCACAGAAGTTCAAGGATACACTTGAGCTGGTACAGACAGGGTACAGAACTAAGTTCTACGGCTTATAGCACGCCCTCCGTTTCGAAACAGTAGAAAGTACCGAGGAAGGAACTTGATATCGAGCCAGTGCTTGAGACGGCCTTCGTTTAACGAAGCCTATCAAGCGTTTCAAACCAAAGAAGCTCCGGCAACGCTCAAACAATTAGATTGACACATTCTTACAATAGGGCACGAACATTACCAATCTAGAGCAAAATTATGAATTCCATAGGAAGGTATTTGAAAGTAAAATCTTATGATGAAAAAGTCAAAAGCTTTTGAAAGATGTAAGAATATTTCAATAGGGGCTTCGTTTTGATCCATGGGCGAGGCGACGTATTTAAGAAAGGATAATACGGATGTTTCCGAAGATTTTGATTTTCGAAACCCATGTTGGCAATCTGAAAACGCGTTGTGTTCATTAAGAAAAGTTTTCATTCGAACGTAAAAAGTCTAATATTTTTGAAAAACGGACAAAAGAGAAATTAGCGAATAATTTTGAATTTTATTTTTGTTTCCTTTTTTGAAAATAGGCTAAATCTTAACTGTTTTTAAAATATCGCGAAAGAGTCCTGTGCATAGGGACACAATAAAGACACGAGTTAACGGGTGTATAATGGTGGGTGCACTAGTATTTAATAATCTGGAAATTCATCTAAACCGGGAGAATATTTATTTTCGCCGATTATTTTGTGAATATCATAGGAAGAAGTTTCGGAAACGAATATAGTGTCTGAAATTTTTGGGGAAACGTCTGAATTTCTATGAGGGAAACGTTTTTTGGATTTAGTGTGATCCGTGTAAGTACATTTATTGTAATATCTAAACTGAAGGAATGAATTAAGTTGAGAAACTGCTCTTCCTCGCAAGATTCGACCAAACAATCAATGTTAAAATCTCCGCATACAACAATAGATTCAAAGGAACGATTGCTGACTTTGTTTAGTATTATCTCCAGTTTTTTTAAAGAATATTATATAATCTACCGCTCTCTTTGTTGGAGGCCAGAAGATGCAAAGCAATATAATGTTTTTTAAATTTATTTTCTTCCCGTTCGACTTGTCTGTCGGGGGTTTTAACGGGTACAATGTTACATACAATAATTTTACTTGGTAATCCTCAGGCAAATGCGTGTCTCGGAACAATCCTTCACTATTTTTAAGTTTCTAATTTGGATATCTTCACTATGAGAAGTTTGCATTTGTGGTTTAGAGGAGGAGGGAGATTGCTTGTGGGAAAAGGGGGCAAATAATTTTATGGATTTTTAATATACTTTTTGGCGAAAAAAAGGTGTACTACAGATATTTCAAAAACATTTTCAACGGAATACACATTTAACTACGTCAATAGAATATAATCTCTATTCTAGCGTAAATGCAAGAACCCCCATACGTAGGACCTTTATGTTATTCCTCTACAATAACAGCCTGCGAGGTAAAACTTAAAAATTTGGAAAATGCAAAGTTTATTATGAAATAACCAATGTTCTGTACGGCAAAGAACATCCATTTGTTTTAAATCTCGCTGTAGAGTTGCTTCGATGAATTAAGTTTTATTTGAAAGGGATTGAACATGGTGCAGTATGTTTATTTTGTGCAAGTGCCCATACGGATGTTTTTCTACTGCATCTGAATGTAGTTGCTATATATTTACTCCATTTTTACCACGAGTGCGTGGTCGAAGGTTGTAATGTGTACCAGAAGTGACAGGTTGTGAGGAAATTGGGGCATCATGTGTAGGTGCATTAGAAGTGAGAATGGGAGAAACGGGTGTAGGGTCAGAGAGGGTTAGAAATAAGGGTGGAAGACGAAAGGGATACATTTTTGGCAGGAGACTGCTTAGGACTGGAGTTGATGATGTGTTGTGCAAGTTTGTTGCCGGCTGCATGTTTTCCA